TACAACTAGTACAACATGTACTACAATAGGAATAGTGCAAAAAGTACATGTACTACAATAGGAATAGTGCAAGAGATAGTATTCTTCACACCCCCCTTCAAACTCAAGATGGGATAACATAGACCATCGAGAGTTTGCCAAGGAGGAAGCGAAAGCGGGCTGCAGTGTGAGTCTTGGTGAAGAAATCAGCCAACTGTAGTGTGGAGCAAACAAAGGGCAAGGAAATCATAGCCGACTGAAGGTGTTGACGAATAAAATGGCAGTCGATTTCAATGTGCTTTGTACGTTCATGGAAAACAGAGTTATAAGCAATCTGAATAGCGCTCTTATTGTCACAATTTAGAGGCGTAGGAGAAGTGATAAAGACACCCATATCCGAGAGAAGCCAACGAAGCCAAACGACTTCTGAGGTAGCGTGTGCCATGGCACGGTATTCAGCTTCGGCAATAGATCGAGCAACAACAGATTGTTTCTTACTTTTCCAAGAGATAAGAGAATCACCCAGAAAAACACAAAGGCCAGAGGTGGATTTGTGGTCACTAATATCACCAACCCAATCAGCATCAGCATAAGCTTGGAGTGTCAAACTAGAGGTGGAAGATAATAGAATGCACTAGTGAATAGTACCACGAATATAACGGAGAATACGTAAGAGGGCAGCCCAATGCGTAGAGCGAGGAGCAGAGACATATTGGCTGATAATATGAATAGCATGAGAGAGATACGGTCGAGTCACAGTAAGATAAACTAAGCATCCTACTAACTCACGGTATTCAGTAGGATCTTCAAGAGGAACACCATCAGAGGCAAAGAACTTGGCATGAAGCTCAAGAGGAGTGTCAACAAGCTTGTGATCCGTGAGACGAGCGCGATGAAGAATGTCAGTGGCATATTTAGACTGTCCCAGAAGAAAACCCTTAGGAGAAGAAACAACTTCAATACCAAGAAAATACCGAAGAGGGCCCAAGTCTTTCATCTCAAATGCACGAAACAAATGGCTTTTCACGTCAGCGATAGAAGCAGAGTCGGAACCAGTGATAATCATGTCATCCACATATAATAGGAGAAGAACTAGACCATGAGAGGTGTGCCGAATAAAGAGAGCTGAGTCGTGCATACTTGGTTTGAAACCAATGTCAAGAACCACATCCTGAAAGCGAGCATACCAAGCTCGAGGGGATTGTTTCAAACCATAAAGAGCACGACATAAGTGGCAAACATAACCAGATGAATGAGAGACACCCGGGGGAGGTCGCATATAAACTTCCTCATTAAGAAAGCCATTAAGGAATGCATTCTTGACATCAAGTTGATAAAGAGGCCACTGATGCACAGCAGCAACAGAGATCAATGTGAGAACAGTGGTCATTTTCGCAACAGGAGCAAAGGTTTCTTCATAATCAATCCCATATTCCTGAGAAAAGCCTTTAGCAACTAACCGGGCCTTATACCGTTCCAAGGATCCATCAGAATGAGTTTTGACCTTGTAAACCCATTTGCAGCCAATAAGATTCTTACCTGCCGGGAGTGGAACCAATTCCCAAGTATTATTCTGAGCAAGAGCAGTAAGTTCGGCATTCATGGCTTCAACCCAGTTGGGATCATGACAAGCTTCTTTATAAGATTCGGGCTCAAAATAAGTGTGAATTCGAGAAAGAAAAGACTGATAAGAGGATGAGAAACAAGTATGAGAGAAACCAAATTTTACCGGTGGATGGCGATTCTCACGGATAGGATACCGACGTGCAGGTGGATCAGAATCGTCCAAAGCAGATGGGGCAACCGGAGAGTCAGATGGCGGAGGTGAACGTGCAGCACGGCGGGAGTAGACCTGGGGAACGGGAGGATAGGAGTCTGTGGCGGGGATGAGGGAGCAACATGTATATCGGTATATTCCTCAGACGGCACATCCACTGGGAAAGGGTCAAGGTGAACTAGATCCTCTTTGGTCACAGGAGCAACATGCGGAGGGAGAGTGTAATATGGCAGACACTCTAAGAATGTGACATGTCGGGATGTATAGATCTTTTTGGTGACTGGATCGTAATAGCGATAGCCTTTTTGTTGAATACCATATCCCAAGAAGACACAGATGGCACAACGAGCACTTAACTTGGTACGATCCTTTTTGGGGAGAAGTACAAAACATGTAGAACCAAAAACACGAAGGAGAGAGTAGTTAGGAACCTGACCATGAAGTCGTTCATATGGTGAGCTGCCAGAGAGAAGGGGGTAGGCATTCGATTCAAGAGATAAGCTGCAATGAGAACAACTTCGCCCCAGAAAACAGATGGGACAGAAATGACAATAACAAAGATCGAGCAGTGTCAAGAAGGTGACGATGCTTCCTTTCGGCTCGACCATTCTGGGGAGGAGTGTCATTGCAAGAGGATTGATGGAGAGTCCCAAGTTTGTCTAAGAAGAAAGTAAATTCATTAAGAGAATATTCCCCACCCAAGTCAGAACGAAGAATTTTGATAGATGCAGAAAATTGGGTTTGGATCATGGCATGAAAATTTTGAAAGATATGGAAAAAATCAGACTTGCGGGTCATCAAATAAACCCATGTATAACGAGTGTAATCATCAACAAACGAGACATAATAAACTGAACCACCCTTTGTAGTTACTGGGGATGGACCCCACAAATCTGTATGGACAAGAGCAAACATAGATGAAGAAACGGAAGTGCTTTTACTAAAAGATAATGCAGACATCTTGGCAAGTTTACAACCACTACATTCTGAAATGTCACCAACAGAAAGGTTACCCAAATGACATGATTGAGCTAAAAGCTTAAGACGTTCACTAGACAAATGTCCTAATCGAGAATGCCAAAGATAAAAAGGGGAAGATGTGTGGTCTAAATGGAAAGACGAAGCAGCAACATGGGAAGACTTCAGTGGAAGGTGCAAGGATTCCAGAATATAGAGGTCACTAACTCTACGGCCGGTCCCAATCTGCTTCTTGGATTCCCGATCCTGCACAACACAACCAGAGGAAGAGAATATAACATCAAAACCAGAATCAGATAGTTGGCTGATGGACAAAAGACTAAGTGTTAACTGAGGGACATAAAAGACTTCAGGAACAGGTAATGAACTAGAGCAAATGGAACCAATGGAGACAACATGCATGGGTGATCCATTTGCTGAGGCAATACTAATAGGGGAGAGAGGAGAGACACAATTGCGAAGAAGCGAGGAATCAGGGGTCATATGATGAGAACAACCGGAATCCAATATCCAAGTGGTTGGTAATATACCTGTGACATTGGAGCCATGCAAACCTGAGTGAATAGAGGACATGGAAGAAGCTTGGGAAGATCCTCTCCGAATAGCTTCCATTAAAGCCTTATACTGCTGAAATTGCTCTAGCATATGAGAAGAAGGTATGGCTTCAGAGGTGGGTGCTGCCACGGCTGCAGAAGGGCAATAGTGCGGTTGAGATGCCCTGGGAACAGAGGAGCCACCGGTATGAGAATTATGTCGACTCCGAGTTTGCTGAACACGCTTAGGGCATGCGTGTTTCCAATGACCTTTCTGATGACAATAACCGCACTCATCAACAGGAATGCGAGGTCGGCCTGAAACCTGAGTCTGATGGGATGCTGGAATGGGCAAGAGGGGTGCCAAATGTTGTACTGGCGGAGAAGATCGAGTGACAAAAACAGATTGTGACGAAGGAGATAGATTCGCCACTTTGAACCGTGTCTCCTCAGCTATGAGCTCATGAACAGCCCCATCAACTGAGGGCAACGGAGATCGATGCAGAATAGCCCCACGTAGAGGCTCAAACTGAGACCGAAGAGCCATGAGAAACTGAACAAGATGCTTTTTCTCACGATACTTCACATAACTATCAAGTAGTTGCAGATCAGATGGTTCCATAAGAGCTAACTGATCCCAAAAACCAGTCATATCATTATAGAACTCTTGAATAGATTTATCACCTTGACTAGCATTACGAATTGATAACTCAAGTTCATACTCTCTTGCGAAATTGGACTCAAAATACATATTTTTCAAATACTCCCAAACATCCTAGCAGTTTCATACTTTGAGAAATTCATACCAATACTTGATTCTGAAGAATTGTGAAACCAAGTCAAGATTTTTCCGTTTTCTCGCTCCCATTTCGCAAAATCAGTGGCATAAGTCTTTGACTCTTTATCAGATGGTGTTACAATTGAGCCAATAACATGTCCCCATAAGCCTTGACCAGTTATAAAATTCTTCATGACCCTTGACCAATAAGAATAATTGGCCCCATTCAAGCGGACACTAATACTTGAAATTTTATCTTCCGACATGATATGAAAAAGTACTCACAGATAGAAGCAAAGGTTCAGGAACAAAGTTACCGGCACAACGAGGTGTTGAGGGAGCAGATTGAAACAAAATGTTTGCTGAAACTGATGAACAGTACTGAATAGTGACTGACGAACAGTAACCGTGTGCTGGAAGTGGCTGACGGTGCTCCGGCGAGGGGCGTCGGAGGTCGGAGGAAGGCTGGGATTGACAAGCTAGTGCTGACAGGTGATCAGCAGAATAAGGGAGAATCAGAATGCAGAAATGGGTTTTCAGATTTTGACAGAGAGAGACAAAGAGAGCTGACTGAAGAGAGAACTGAAGTTGGTTCCCAGCACACATAAGATTTCAGATGCTGATTCTGAGCAAAGGCTAGAGAGGTGACTGAAGATAAACAGAGAATATCAGCTCTGATACCATGTTAACTGAACTGAATTGGAAACTGAATATTCTTGTATATTAATCAAAGGAAGGGTTACACTTATATAGGAAATCCTAACATCTAACTAGTACATCTAGTACATGTAGTACAACTAGTACATGTGGTACAACTAGTACATGTAGTACAACTAACCTAACATCTAACTAGTACAACTAGTACAACATGTACTACAATAGGAATAGTGCAAAAAGTACAACATGTACTACAATAGGAATAGTGCAAGAGATAGTATTCTTCACAGGAAATCCCCTTGATAATTTCTCTCAACTCAGTGTACTTTGTGTAAGAAGAGCAATTATCTAGTGTGCAAATACTTCAATTCAAATGAGCAAATGGATTATACTTTATTTGGGTTTCTCCTTTCCGTCATTTAAGTTGAAGGGCAAATTTTTCCAGTCAACTATATATATTTCCATTCCTTATTCCTTGTGCCATTCAACATTGGCCAAGTAGGGAGTATTACTATTCATAACTATTGAGGTAAGAGAAACAGCCCTTTTGCGGAAATATCTATACCTTGAGGCCCCTTATTTGTCCATACCTTGCATATGCATTCGTCCCTATAACCTCCCTTTGCAAAATTAAATCGTTTGAAGTCTCTCGCTTTATAAAAAGGAAAATGTTCTATTTACATTGATTATATAAAAATAGTCCGAAAAGGTATTAAGTAATGTGTATTACATTTGTAATGAAAAGACTGCATATGAATAAACTTTAGTGTATTTAGCAATAATTTAGGTTGCTATTCCTCCATCATGGTTTGCCATACACCATTTTCTTATTCACTTCTATGGCAACCCTTCATGTGTAACTGGCATAAAGAACTAAAGAACGGAGTATAGTTATACGTGTCGTGGATGGCAAGTAAGTGAGCCCGAGATGTGGGGTTAACCCACGTGACTGGAAGAAGGTGCTTGTCTACTTTTTTGGGACTCGGCAAATGTGAGTGATGCAAGCTTACAAGCTACTATGGCTCTGTTCTTATTCCTTGTGGTCACATGCATGTCATCTATTAATTTTGCTTCCTTAACTTATGTGCATCATTTCATCTTACAAAGTTATAATTAAATTACTTTGTTTATGATCTAATTGGGCAAAACTGGGTTGTATTTTCTAGTAAATAAGAATACACATGTTCAAAATCCATGAATTACTCAGATTCTTAACATTATGATCTTATTGGGTTTACATGCATTAATAGTAACCTCTTTTATTCGTCTTTTTATACACTTGAAAGTTTCATGCTTGTTTTATCTGATTGAAGCACCTTACGTTCTTACAACAGACCCTTGTAATGAATGTTTTGACCTTCAGCATCTTTTCCAAATGTGCACGAAGAGTAAGTGACAGGTTACTCCTTTTGATCCAGTAATGCCAAGTTTATTCTTTTTTTCCTTTTTGTCCTCTACCTCATTTACTATGTCTTTCCTTTTTGTACAGAGCTTTTCGCAACCCCTCCGATGTTGAACCTTTCACGTAAGAGAAAAAGAATTTGTCCTTGGAAAGCGTAATTTAAAAAGCACATTGCTTGAGATAATTGATTGGTATGAAAAGTTAATAATGAGTGACTAATATATGAAATGCTGCTGGTGATACAAGTGGTCTGAACTGTTTATCTGCAACTAGTCTGACTGGAGCGGTAGGAGGAACTTCATTTGATGAACAAGCACCATCAAAAGAGCTTAGTGGCAAAGTGGAGGGCACCCATGGCACAAAAACCTGTTCTTCAAGAAGGAAACTTAACTCTTTGAGACCACGAAATTTCGTCACACTGAAAAAAGCTCGTAGTACTCTGAGAAATGGCTCTTTGAGGAGGAGTAAAAGGACTAAGAAGTTAGTAGATGATTCTAAGAAACATGAGGTAGCTTTACGTACTTCCTTTTCAAATGGTAGCATAGAAGAGATTGATTCTGAAATTGCAACAGCAGATTCTGATACCTCAAGTTTCAATGAAGGCATCAGTGTAGAATCTGGTTGCAAACTTGAGCCTTGGTTCCTCTAGCATGTGGAAGAGGAGGTAGAGTTTAATCACAAGCTTTATTTCAGTTGTATTGGTGTGATACTGAAGAAGAACAAGAGGAAACAAAACATGAAAAGATTTCTTAATTGTTCAACTGCAGCAGGTTTTGAAAAGATGACCGAATGTTTTGTCAAGAATGTCAATGAAAATGGTGATGAGCACTTGCCACTTTTCAAAAGAGCAAGAGTTCACATGGGAAGGTCATCTCTTATGCTTGAGGAACTTGTTTTTTTTAATAGAGGAAGGACAGAGTTGTGTAATAGCCCCAACAGAGTAGTATACTGGGTTGCTGTATGAAGGATATAGTGTTATTGTTCAATACTCTTTTCCATTGAATAAATGCTCTATTAATGTGGGATAGTTATGCAGTAGAGAATTTGGTGCTTCAATTGCTGGTGAATCTGCTTTGCTCCATCTAAACGTCTTCATCGTGCTTTACAGGCCATGTCAGTTATGCAGTAGAGAATTTGGTGCTTCAATTGCTAGTGAATCTGCTTTGCCCCCTTTTGCTTTTTCATCAAATGAAGTTCCTCCTACCGCTCCAGTCAGACTAGTTGCAGATAAACAGTTCAGACCACTTGTATCACCAGCAGCATATTTCACCTTTTGACAAGAATTATGTGGTTCTGTCGGCATTTCATATATTAGTCACTCATTTTTCAACTTTTCATACCAATCAATTATCTCCTTCCCAGATTAATCATCTACTTCACGTCAGCAGAAGTTTCTGATTTTCTGCTTGATAAACCAAAGGCTGCATACAAAATGAGTAGGAAAAGGGAAGTGAATGCTGCTCTGTCTTATTTTGAATATATTTTAGGAGCGCTGACTCGGACTAAGAAAAGCATTCTAAGGACTGCAAAATTTGGGTTGCTACTAAGGTGGGTTATTTGCTATAGTAAATTTATTGAAAATCTATTTTATACATGGTCATCTTAAACATACTCCACGCAATTGTGAATCCCCCCCCCCCCCCCCCCCCCCCCACTGAAATGAATATAGAAACAATAGTGGGCGTGAATCTTGAATCTAGACAAAGTTAAGCAAAAATGCTTCAAATATGTGGTCATCTTGGCGTTCTACCTTATAGAAAATAGCCAAGTTTACTTGTGCCTTAATCCCCCACATTAAGAAATGAATCTTCTAAGTCCTGCATGTGCATTAAGCCTCCACACTAAGACTCAATTTCTTTTAATTCCATGTACACTAAGCCTCCACACTAAGACCCGATTTCTTCTGATCTTTCTTTTGCATTATGCCCCCAGTCCCCACCTGCATCTTGTCTTTGTGCTATGTCTTATTTAATTGTTTATATTGTTAAACATCTTTTTCTTCTTTCGTTTTCCCGTTTCGTTACAGGTGGCTGAAATTATTTCCTCTAGTTGGGAATGCGAGTCCAATTTACATAGAAGATTATATTTATTTTTTATAGTGGATTCTATTGTTCAGAGTTCAAGAAGCTTGACAGGTACATCAGTGAGTTCTGGTTTTAATTGACCTTCTTTAGTGTGTAATTCTCTAATGCTGTGTTTTCTTGTAGATCTCTTTTTATATGTTAACGAATCTTAGACAATCAATTGACAGCATCACTTTCATGCACTGATCCCAACATACTAATAGATGTATTATTTTGAAATTTTACGTTTTCAGATATTATAAAATTTCAGGTGATATTGGTGCAATATACCCTTTAGCTATCCAAACACTATTACCATGCGTGTTAGAACCAGAGGCAGTGCTTCAAAGCAATGGTTTCTTTAGCTCTTCACTCGTCTTGCCATTTTTCTGAATTCGCTTGGATATCGACCCGATGATTTGCTATCTTGTAGATCTCATAACAGAGCTGCAGTCATTATCTGTTGTTCTTCTGGAGGTGCAGTCTTCCGCCCCCTTTAAGAACAGCGTTCTTTTGATGATCCAATTCCAGAAATTTAGGATATGATGGTAGATGAATATGGAAGGTATGATTCTCATTGCCCTTATCAGTACACATGTTCTTTCCAAAATTAAGAAAGTGACTGAGCTTGTCATTTGAGTGAAGTGTTTGTACTTCTCCCATGATTAATGATGATGAAGCATTAGTCCCAAATTGTCGTGTATGGTACTTCCAACTCTTTTTAAGCTATTATTAAAATCAATGACAAAAATAAAACTGTATAAATGAAAAATAATAATCTTATACCCCGTAGTTTTAGCCCAAAAAGGAGGATCGAGCTTGAAATAGCCATATAAAATTAAGCCATAAATGTATGCCATTCTATTACTCCCTCCGTCACGTTGAAAGATTATCACTTTCCTTATTTGGGTGTGCCATTTAAAGGTGCCCATTTCATTTTAGAAAATAAATTACTCTTTAATTACACCTTTACTCAAATTTCTCTTTCCTACTCATTACATGTCAAATCTCAAAATTTCCCTCCCCCAACTTATCTCACTTTAATTACATTAACTTTATCATCATCATCATTACCCCAATGCTGCAAAGGTTCCCACTTACGGCAAGGTAGGGGGTCGGATGTACGCAGTCTTACCCCTGTAATAAAGCACAGAAAGACTTCCGTGATGACCCAAAGTGAAAATCGCGTCCAAAATTGCATGTACTGACTGCTACTTCATAAAAAAGGACATACAGTTTAGTGAGCCATTTTGCTTTATTCCATCATATTCTCAAGCCAAAAAATAGTGAATCTTTGGCTCCATTACAAATGACGGAAGAATTATATTAACTTTATATGTTTACTTTTTCTAAAATTTATGTTTCCTCTCATTTTACCCAAATTACTTTATTTAACCACTTGTCTAAAAATTGTGCTATTTACCCACGGGACGGAGAGAGTATATTATAAAAACTATATAAGCAATGTAGGATATTAATTAATGAATATAACACATGATAACATATCCAACCATTTCAGGTTGTATAAGAAAGGATCATATTGACCAGACAGTATCTTATTAGTTTAATTTAGATCAAATTGATATAATCTTACTAGATCATATCATAAAAGATTGGACTTAATCAGGACTCTAGCGTAGTAGGTGATTCCAAATTTGCATTTTATAGTAATAAAAAACACATGCCCAATATCAAATAGAAGCAATTTAGATCCGACTAAATTATATAGATTTTAATAATCAGATCGGAAAATTCCATATCTATGATATTGGTCTGAAAGGTGATTAGAGGCAATTTACATATCATACTAACCGTTGGCAGTTAAAATGGTAATCTTTATGAAAAGTAACCTATATATAAAACCTATTTAGGGTAGTAAATGGACGTGAAAATGGATGGTCTACCATCTGGCGTCTCTCTCGCAACTCTCCCATAGCCTTTGACTACCCATTTAGTTCCAACGGAGTTGCAGATGATCCAATATTTGTTACCCTCCTCCCAAAAGCCCATGATCAACACGACATGAAACCCATCAACGTTTGAGTTCTTTTCCTTGGTTGACTTTTCTTTCTTGGTTGTCTTGCTGCTGCTGCTGTGAGTTGGCTCCTTGTAAATCTAATGAATAAAAGCACTTGCATATCAGATATACACTTTTACATATGTATAAATGGAAACTGCATGTTTTGATCTATTATCTTTTACCTACAATCTTAGTGTAGTAAGCTACATTTCAGTGGTAGGCAGATCAATTAATTCACTGGTTCATTACTTCATTTATAATCTCATCAAATCTGTTTTAATTGTTTCAGCCATGTTCAGACACATGCTTGATGTGTCTCTTCTGGTATTAAACTCTCAGCAAGTATTTTACACTTTTGATTAATCTCCGATCATACAATCGCAATTTGAAATTTCATACATTGTTTGATCAATGAGTCACATCGAATTTAGGCTAAACAGCTAAATAAAGTTGTAATTGAAACCTTACCGTAGTAACTCAGTGCGTGTATTGATCTAATATATTCTACCTACATTGTTGGTCTAGTAAGCTACATTTCTTTGGTAGTTAGATCAATAATGACTCATGGTTTAGTTATAATCTCATCAAATTTGTTTGGATTAATCGTTTCAGTCAAGCTCAGAGTTCAGACACATGCTTGACATATCTCTTCCGGTCTTACATTGTCAGCAAGTATTTTACACTTTTGACTAATCCCTGACCATACAATTGCAGCTTGAAATCTCATACATTGTTTATTTGATCAATGGGATGCAGCAATTTCGAGATAAAAAGCTAAACGAAGTTGTGCTTTAAACTATACAGTAGTAACTCAGTGATTTCAGAAGTTGTGGAACAAAGCTCATAATACACACACTAATGTTGGTAAACATCCAAGTTTTTCTATATTCTAATAAAAATGCAATATATCAACAAAGACTATAGTTGGAATATATCAAAGTTGTGTAGTATAATTCACCGTATTATCTCTGATGTTATTAAACTCTTTTGTAAACTCGAGTGCATCAACTATGGGATGTTTGTAAACGAGCCCAACTATTTCCTGATCCTTCACTTTCATTCTTGGATCATTTCTTTCATCATCATTTGCTAGCGACACGTAGTCAGGAATGCATATACGTCGGCTTCCCTGTGATTGTTTTGGAGGATTTTTGTTTTTTTTTCGGTAAATTTATATTCTGACATCAGGGCAATTCCATCTGTTTTCGCGTGATTAAATGCCCTCCCTGTCTCTGCTATCCAGTCGCTAGCCCTGTGCTTACACTCATCAATAAGAGACTGGGGGGAGAGACTTACTTGATCACCCTCCCCCTTCTCCTTGACCCTTATATTTTCAAATGCTTCGACACAGGCTGCTGTTTGGATTGCCCAACAACACGGAGTATCTCCTTGATCAAGTACCGGGGTCTTCAGAACGTTCATGTTTCTCCAGTTCCAATGTGTTGGCAATACATCACCCTCTTTGTTACTTGATGAGGACATGCTACAGACAAAGTGTGCACAATAAACTAATTTGAATTTAAAATTCATATAACTTGTTCCGATACATATGTGAAATATTAAATTAGCAAGGGAGTAAATAACACTTGTATAGAGTTTTTTCAAGTGTTATTTACTCCCTCATTTTACAAGTGTTATTTACTCCCTTCCTAATTTAATATTTCACAGATGTATCGGAACAAGTTATATGAATTTTAAATTTATAAGAGACTGGGGGTAGAGACTTACTTGATCACCCTCCCCCTTCTCCTTAAACTTATATTTTCAAATGCTTCGACACAGGGTGTTGTTTGGATTGCCCAGAAACACGGAGTATCTCCTTGATCAAGTACCGGGGTCTTCAGAACGTCCATGTTTCTCCAGTCTCAATGTGTTGGCATTACATCACCCTCTTTGTTACTTGATGAGGACATGCTACAGTCAAAGTGTGCACAATAAACTAATTTGAATTTAAAATTCATATAACTTGTTCCGATACATATGTGAAATATTAAATTAGCAAGGGAGTAAATAACACTTGTATAGAGTTTTTTCAAGTGTTATTTACTCCCTCATTTTACAAGTGTTATTTACTCCCTTCCTAATTTAATATTTCACAGATGTATCGGAACAAGTTATATGAATTTTAAATTCAAATTAGTTTATTGTGCACACTTTGACTGTAGCATGTCCTCATCAAGTAACAAAGAGGGTGATGTAATGCCAACACATTGGGACTGGAGAAACATGGACGTTCTGAAGACCCCGGTACTTGATCAAGGAGATACTCCGTGTTTCTGGGCAATCCAAACAACACCCTGTGTCGAAGCATTTGAAAATATAAGTTTAAGGAGAAGGGGGAGGGTGATCAAGTAAGTCTCTACCCCCAGTCTCTTATTGATGAGTGTAAGCACAGGACTAGCGGCTGGATAGCAGAGACAGGGAGGGCATTTAATCACGCGAAAACTGATGGAATTGCCCTGATGTCAGAATATAAATTCATCGGAAAAAAACAAAAATCCTCCAAAACAATCAGAGGGAAGCCGACGTATATGCATTCCCGACTACGTGTCGCTAGCAAATGACGATGAAAGAAATGATCCAAGAATGAAAGTGAAGGATCAGGAAATAGTTGGGCTCGTTTACAAACATCCCATAGTTGGCGCACTCGAGTTTATAAAAGAGTTTAATAACATCATAGATAATACGGTGAATTATACTACACAACATTGATATATTCCAACTATAGTATTTGCTGATATATTGCATTTTTATCACAATATAGAAAAACTTGGATGTTTACCAACATTTTAGTGTGTGTATTATGAGCTTTGTTCCACAGCTTCTGAAATCACCGAGTTACTAATGTATGGTTTAAAGCACAACTTCGTTTAGCTTTTTATCTCGAAATTGCTGAATCTCATTGATCAAATAAACAATGTATGAGATTTCAAGCTGCAATTGTATGGTCAGGGATTAGTCAAAAGTGTAAAATACTTGCTGACAATTTAAGACCGGAAGAGATATGTCAAGCATGTGTCTGAACTCTGAGCTTGAATAAAATGATTAATCCAGACAAATTTGATGAGATTATAACTAAACCATGAGCCATTATTGATCTAACTACCAAATAAATGTAGCTTACTAGACCAACATTGTAGGTAGAATATATTAGATCAATACACGCACTGAGTTACTACTGTAAGGTTTCAATTACAACTTTATTTAGTTGTTTAGCCTAAATTCGATGTGACTCATTGATCAAACAATGTATGAAACTTCAAATTGCGATTGTATGATCGGAGATTAATCAAAAGTGTAAAATATTTGCTGACAGTTTAATACCAGAAGAGACACATAAGGCATGTGTCCTGAACATGGCTGAAACAGTTAAGACAGATTTGATGAGATTATAAATGAAGTAATGAACCAGTGAATTAATTGATCTGCCTACCACTGAAATGTAGCTTACTAGACTAAGATTGTAGGTAAAAGTTAATAGATCAAAACATGCAGTTTCCATTTATACATATGTAAAAGTGTATATATGATATGCAAGTGCTTTT